GGGATCTGAGTCTGCCTCCAGCACCTCAGGATCTCCGATGCCAGCCTCATGCGTGCGGCTTACCTGGCAATCAGAGTCATGAGCTGAGGGAGAAGCTGCTGCTTCTCCTTCATCGTCGTTCCCCTTCAGGGGATCCACATCGGGGGGCTGGAAGATCTCCAGGATCGAGGCTTTGATCCAAATGTTGCAGTTGGTGGCATCCTGCAGCTGGGACAGTTCTCTGTCCTCTTCCCTTCCTTGGTCCTCCTCTTCCTGCTCCTTCCCAGCCCTCGGTTCCTCCTGAGATCGCACAACGGGGATGAGGGGATGAGTGAGCTGCAGCTCAGCAGCGGAAGAGCTGGCCCCAGGCAGGGGGAGGCTCATCCCACTGTGCTGTCCCATCTTCTTCTCAGCACTCACGTGTCTGTGTTGGAGGTCCCGCTCCTCAGGGCCATCCAGCTGCCCATGCAGGCCGGCTCTCCTCTCCTCTGTCTTGGGGAGCACCAGGAATCTCCCTCCCACACGCAGCCCCGGGGAGGCAGCTCCTTCCTGCACCTCGGTATCTGTGGTGCCGCCCGCACGTGCCTCAGTCACTGGGTGCTGAGCATCCTGAGGCAAAGGAGAAGCGGCGGCGTCTCCTTCTTTATGTGCTGCGGGGGCAAGGTGGGGTGTGACAGCCTCTGCCCCAGGGATCTCTGCCAGGGCAGCTGCAGCTTTCCCCTCGTCCGCTGCCAGGCAGGCAAGGGTTCTGCTGTGCTCCCCCTGAGGCTTTGCTGCCCCAGGCGACTTGAGTGTTGCAGGTGGCATTGCCACCTTGGCCCCGGGCAGGCTTTTGGTCATGTCCTTCTGTTCCACCTGCCTCTTCTTGGTTTTCTGGGGCACGGCCACGGGTGGGAGCAGAGGCTTCCTCTCTTTGCCTGTGCCTGTGACCTGCAGAGCTGCCTTGAATCCTCTGCCGCTCTGCGGGGCAGGTGCCTGTCTCTGTCTCTGCGCTGTGGCCTCCTGCTTGCCAAAGCCATGGGAAGCTCGTGCTGGTGCCGCTGGAGGGAGAGGTGCCAGTTTCTCCTTAGTAGCTCTGGGCAGGCAGCTCCCCTTTGGCTGCTCCCTAGGGTTGATCTTGCTGGGCAGCGGGGGCAGACGCTGTGGAAGCACCTTGTGGTGTAGCCCCAGCGACCTGGTCTTGAGGCTGTCCTTGCTGCCCGTCGTCAGCATGGCTGGCAGGTGCTCGGCCACTCTCCCAGCGTTTCTCAGTGTGGGCTGAGTGGCAGGGGCCTTGCTGCTCTTGGCTGCCTGGACAGTGGCTGTTCTTGTGCTTGTCCCGGCAGCCCTGCTGCGTGGTGGCTCCTGCTGTGCCGCTGGCTGCTGGCGGGGTTCCTGCCTCCTTGCCACAGTTGGCAGCCTGCGGGAGCTGCTCATGGGTGTCTGTGAGCGAGGCGGTGGCAGGGGTGTCATTGCCACCACTGGTGGCAGACGAAGCGTCTGCTGCTGCGTTGCGCCGCTGCTGCGGGGCAGCACCACTCGGTGCCCCAGGCTGCCCGTCTGCAAGAGAAGCCGAGGAGAGGCTGTGTGATGGTGTCCCTTGTGTCTGTGTCACAGCTTATGCAGTTGTGCTCCCCTGCCAGCCCCAGGGCAGGGCTCAGCCCCGCAGGGGGCTGCCGCCTGCCCCCCAGTCCGGCAGGGGAGAGGGCTGGCCACCCGCAGCCCACGGCCACTGCCCAGAGCACCCCCGGCGTGCCCGGGCAGCCTGACGGGCACGGCACGGGGGGCTCAGCTTGCTCCCTCCTGCTCCTCCCGCTCCTCCCATGGTCGGGAGGACATTCAGCCCCGTCTCCCTCGCTCTCCCAACTAGTACCTGCTGGTTGATAACAGGGCGAAACCTCTGCTGGTAGGGCACCCGTGGCACGGTGATTCTTTGGCGGGACGAGGCCTGGCTCGGGCTGCCCTGCGGCTCTTCCTCGGGCTGCCTGCGGGCCACCTGCGGGCAGGAGGAGGAGGAAGAGGTGTGTGATGAATGCGGCTGCATTTGCACAGCTGCCCCCGTGGTGCCCGCAGGCCCGGCCCTGCACCCAGGCGGCTCCGTACGGCCCTGTCCCACCACCGTCCTCTCCCTCCTGCCCCGGCCCTCACCTGGCGCATCCTCTGTGCGCTCGGCCTGCCCTCAGCGGGCCGGGAACGGGCGTTCGCCTCTTTACCGACGGGCATCTCCCACGTCCTGGGACGCTGAAGTGCCGTAGGCTTCCAGGGAAACTGCTGCCTCCTGAGGGAGGCTGCTCCTCTGGCCTGGGGTGCTCCAGGGCTCTCGCTCCTTATATACCCCACGGTCAGCACGGGGGTACCTCCGTCACAATGGCCTCCGGGCACAAGGACTCCCCCTTCATCACAAAGCCTCTGAGGTCACGATGGCGATGCCTGCACCCATGACTGATGCCAGGCAGTCCCACAGCGTCTCCACAGCGACCACCGAGGCTTTGTGATGGCGGTGGCCCCAGGGCTTCCTCTCTTTGCCTGTGCCTGTGACCTGCAGAGCTGCCTTGAATCCTCTGCCGCTCTGCGGGGCAGGTGCCTGTCTCTGTCTCTGTGCTGTGGCCTCCTGCTTGCCAAAGCCATGGGAAGCTCGTGCTGGTGCTGCTGGAGGGAGAGGTGCCTGGAGCTGCAAAGGACCTTAAAGTTCTTCCAGCTCCAACCCCTGCAACAAGCAGGGTCACCTTCCACTACAACAGGTTGCTCCCAGCCCTGTCCAGGCTGGCCTTGAACAGGCCTTACATCCATCTTCCCTTGCCAGGGATGGGGCAGCCCCAGCTTTTCTGGGCACCCTGTGCCAGGGTCTCAGCACCCTCACAGGGAAAGAGCGTCTGCTTACTAAATTTCATCTCCCTCAAAAGCCCTCTGTGTGGTCCTACACCTGGGTCGGAGCAATCCCAAGCACATCTACAGGTTGGGCAAAAAAGAGATTGAGAACAGCCCTGCGGAGAAGGACTTGGGGGTGTTGGTCGATGAGAGAATGAACATAAGCAGGCAGTATGCGCTCGCAGCCCAGAAAACCAACCATATCCTGGGCTGCATCAAAAGCAGCGTGACCAGCAGATCCAAGGAGGTGATCCTGCCCCTCTGCTCTGCTCTTGTGAGACCTCACTTGGAGCATTGTGTGCAGTTCTGGTGTCCTCAACACAAAAACAACATGGAACTGTTCGAACAAGTCCAGAGGAGGCCACGAGGATGATCAGGGGCTGGAGCACCTCCTGTATGCAGACAAGCTGAGGAAGTTGGGGCTGTTCAGCCTGGAGAAGAGAAGGCTGTGTGGAGACCTCAGAGCAGCTTCCTGTATCTGAAGGGGGCCTATAGGGATGCTGGGGAGGGACTCTTCATTAGGGACTGTAATGACAGGACAAGAGGTGATGGGTTAAAACTGAAACAGGGGAAGTTTAGATTGGATCTAAGGAGAAAATTCTTTCCTGTGAGGGTGCTGAGGCACTGGAATGGGTTGCCCAGGGAGGTTGTGAATGCTCCATCCCTGGCAGTGTTCAAGGCCAGGTTGGATGAGGCCTTGGGTGATATGGTTTAGTGTGAGGTGTCCCTGCCCATGGCAGGGGGGTTGGAACTGGATGATCTTAAGGTCCTTTCCAACCCAGACTGTTCCATGAATCTATGATTAAGCTGAGGTAACAGCCGAGGTCCCTACATAAAGACCAGCCTTAATGGAACAGATACTGTGTAAATGTACCCTCTCACAGCTGTATTCCACCTCAGCTCTGTGGCTGCATGAGAAGTCCGGGAAGGAGAACGCGGGTTGAGCCTTCTGTTACTCAGGAACACCCGTGAACGTCTGAGACACAGAGAGTGAAAGGGGGGCGGTGGGGAGGCAGACAGTGAGAGATCGCCAGTCTGCCAATGGGAGGGCTCGTTGTAGAGGGAGCGCCGCAGGGGCTCACAGACGCCCCTGCTGATTGGCCCCGGTTCCCGGACTTCTGGAAGCGTCTCTCGGCCCAGCTGCAGGAGTGGCTGACACAGCCGTCACTCAAGAGAGGCTGCTCCAGGCCCCTCCCCGTGCCTGCCCTCTCGGGTTTCTGGAACCTTCTGTCGGTGCAGTCTGTCTGTGCTTTCACAGCCGCAGACCCTGGGTAAGAAAATCGCTAGGGAATGGGGTCGGGGAGGGAACCAAGGCCACGCTTGCGGTCATGCTGCACTACAGCTTCCCAGGCACAGTCTTCAGAGCTGGTTTGCAGCAAGGGCAGGTTGTTCTGTGCTTGCTCTGGTTGCACTGTGGCGCTTTAGGGGCCAGCCGCCCGCAGGGTGGCCATGAATACAAGGTGGATTCCCCACCCCAGACACAAAACAAGAGCTGGGTCTGCGTTCCTGCACAAGTGCATCTGCAGCCTTAGCACCACCTCCCTGTCATTCCTCTGCTACAGCCCCGGGGACACAAGACAATGGCTTGGGGCAGCTGCAGGGCAACCTGCACTCGAGTGCTCTGAAGCTGCGGGATGGGGGGGAAACAAGCACGGTCCCACATCTGCTGCCCGTTTACAGCTCTGTTTCTGGAAAAACTACCAGCTTCTCACTGCATTGCTTCAGTGCTTGTCTGTGCAAGGGAAGAAGTACAGTCGCAATCTTTCAGCCCTTATCTCTGGCCTTTCTTCTTATTCCTCCCATCCCTCCTACAACCCTCTCATTTCCATTAGGGTGCTGCAACATGTAGCTGGCTTCAAAAGGCAGCTGACGTGTGAGCCACCGCATCACACCCTGCTTCATGCCATCGGGACGCGCTATTCCTGCATGGGCAGCACGTGCTGCCCAGAGGCAGCAAGTCTGCAAGCCCACCAGCTGGGAAGTGCCTCAAGGAAAGAGGTCGCTCCCCAGGCTTCTACACTGCTGACACGAGGGAAAAGCAGTAGGCGGCAGAGGCGAGCAGTGGGGGGAAAGGGGAATGGTTTATTGTCCCAAGAAGGTGTCCGCAGCGAGCGCAGCCTGCAGCACGATGTCCTGAGCGCAGCTCTGTCGGGGCTGGCGCCGGCAGTGGGGCACTACTCCTGCTCTTGTGTGTCCATGGAGGAGAAGCTGGAAGTCTTGCCTGGAGAATTCATTGCTCTCCTGAAGCGGGATGGTTGTCGCTTCATGAATGAGACCTGCAGAGCTCTGTCTGCAAGTATGCACTGCCTTGGGGCACGTGCCTGTGATGCTGCCTCCTCAGCGTCGTAGGGTTCAGAGCCAGGGGAAGCTGGTACCAGCTCCTCCTCTTGTGTCAGGGCATCGAGAGGTGTGCGGTGCTGCTCTTGCTCAGCAGCTGCAGGCAGAGTGGGAGCTGCTGGCTCAGTGTCAGTGGGTCCAGTCAGGGCAGGAGACAGGCTCTGTAGCTCCTCAGCAGCCTCTCGTGCTGTGTCTCGTGCTGCCTCTCCTGCTGCAGCTGTGCCCACACTGCTGGGGCTGCTGGATCCCTCCTGGGGACCCGCGTGGCGGGCCTGGGAGAGCTCTGGTGCAGAGGTGTCGCCATAGGTGTCCCGTACGCTGATGGCTTCCTCCTGGGACAGCTCTTTGTCCCTGTCATTTTGTGACTCGGTTTTCACCTCCTCTGTCTGTTCCTTGGCCGAGTTTGCTGGCAGTAGCAGGCAGAGGCGAGCAGTGGGGGAAAAGGGGTATGGTTTATTGTCCCGAGAAGGTGTCTGCAGCGAGCGCAGGCTGCAGCACGGTGTCCTGAGCGCAGCTCTGTCAGGCCTGGCGCCGGCAGTGGGGCACTACTCCTCTACCCGTGGGTTCATGCAGGAGAAGCTGAAAGTCTTGCGCAGAGACTTCATTGCTCTCCTGAAGCGGGACTATCGTCGCTTTTGGAGCGCTCCTGCATCCGGCTGGGTGGCAGTGCCTGCGGGGATAGGAGAGCTGTAGGCACGGGGCTGGGTGGGCGCTGGGCAAGCTCCTGCTGCCACCCAGCACCGCGGGCTTTCCCCGGGGGCTTTCCAGTGAAGGCTTTTTGGCCCTCGCCCACGGAGTGGAGGCCGGGGCACAGGTGAAGTCATGTTCACGCTGCTGCCAGCCTGGCCTGGCTGCCACTCGACGCAGGGACGTACCTGACTCGTCCTCAGTGTCCTGAACTGCTGCAGGTGACACTGGTGGTTCCTCCTCTTGTGCTGCCCGTGAGGCAGGGGCACTGCTGGCCTCACCTTGATGGTTTTCAGATGCTCTCCTGAGTACTTTGCGCACGAATGAGAGCTGCAGAGCTCTCTCTCTAAGTGTGCGCCGCCTTGGGGCAGGTGCCTGAGATGCTGCCTGCTCTGCGACACAGGATGCAGAGCCAGGGGAAGCTGGTGCTGGTGCCTCCTCGTCCTCTTGTGCCAGGGCAGCGAGAGGTGTGCGGTGCTGCTCTTGCTCAGCAGCTGCGGGCAGGGTGGGAGCTGCTGGCTCGGTGTCTGTGGGTCTGGCCAAGGCAGGAGACAGGCTCTGCAGGTCTCCAGCTGTCTCTTCCGCTGCCTCTTCTGCTGCCTCTCCTGCTGCGGCTGTGCCCACGCTGCTGGGGATGCTGGATCCCTCCTGGGGTCCCACGCGGGGTGCCTGGAAGAGCTCAGGCACCAAGGGGTTGACATAGATGTCCCGTATGGTGATGGCTTCCCCTTGGGACAGCTCTTTGTCCCAGTCACGTTCTGAGGACTCCTTCACCTCCTTGACCAGGGCTCTGGTCCGTATGTTGCCCTTGATGACGTCCAGCAAATGGGACAGCAGTTGGTCTCTGTCCTCTTCCCTTTTGTGGTCGTTCTCCTCTTCCTGCTCCTTCTCAGTGGGCAGTTCCTCCTGTAATCACACAACCGGGATGCAGGGGATGAGTGTGCTGCAGCTGGGCAGCGTAGTGCCTGGTCCCAGGCAGGAGCAGGCTCATCCCCCTGTGTTGTCCCATCCATCATTGGCGCTCACCTGTAGGTACTGGAACAACGCTCTGTGTCTCGGGCAGCAATATTGCCTCTGGCTGTCTTGCAGCTGGAGCTCCCTCTCCTCAGGGCCTCCCAGCAGCCCAAGCAGGCTGGCTGTCCTCTGCCTGTCCAGACTGTGCCTGCTGCTGGCAGTGCTGCTCCTCTTCTGCCCCTCCAGGACCTCTGTCCAGGCGATCACCAGGAATGTCTCTGCCACACGCAGCCTGGGGGAGGCACCTGCCTCCTGCACCTCGAGACCTGTGGTGCTGGGCACATGCGCCTCAGTCACTGGGGGCTGAGATTCCTGATCTGAGGGAGAAGCAGCTGCATGTCCTTCTATGCCTGCTCCTGGGGCAAGGTGGGGTGTCGCAGCCTCTGCCCCTGGGAGCTCTGTCGATGAAAATGTCGTTTCACCCTTTTCTGCTGCTGGGGAGACAACAGCACTGGTGGCCTCTTCTTGCTGTTCTCCCAACACGGGTGACACCATGTCTTGTACACCTCCTGCTGCTGCAGTAGCGGGAGGGGCTGTGGCCACATGAGACCCAGAGTCCTCAAGTGCTGCAGGACTGCTTGTGGGCACCGCCACATACAAACACTGTGTAGTGTCCCGGTGTTCCAGAGGCTGCTGTTCGGTTCCCCTGACCACAGCCACAGAGTGGACCATAGGCTCCCACTCTGTGGGTGTGGATATCACCTGCAGAGCTGTGTCACGTACTGCGAGGCTCTGCGGGACACGTGCCTGTCTCGGTGCCTGTGCTGCTGCCTGCGGCTCGTCAAAGCCAGGGGAAGCTGGTGCCGGTGCCTCCTCGTCCTCTTGTGCCAGGGCAGCGAGAGGTGTGCGGTGCTGCTCTTGCTCAGCAGCTGCAGGCAGGGTGGGAGCTGCTGGCTCGGTGTCTGTGGGTCTGGCCAGGGCAGGAGACAGGCTCTGCAGGTCTCCAGCTGTCTCTTCCGCTGCCTCTTCTGCTGCCTCTCCTGCTGCGGCTGTGCCCACGCTGCTGGGGATGCTGGATCCCTCCTGGGGTCCCGCGCGGGGTGCCTGGGAGAGCTCAGGCACCAAGGGGTTGACATAGATGTCCCCTATGGTGATGGCTTCCCCTTGGGACAGCTCTTTGTCCCAGTCGCATTCTGAGGACTCCTTCACCTCCTCCGTCTGTTCCTTGGCCAGGTTTGCTGGCGCCTCCTGTAAACACAGCGCAGAACATCAGAGCTAACAGCTCTCTCCCCAGCCACATCTCTCTCAGGGCTGCAGGTGCTTGTGTGGGTGCTGTGCTGTGGGCTGCCTTCTCCCTGTGGCCCCGTGACCTGCGCCAGGGCTGCTGGTGCATCAGCCCGCCCCTTGGGTTCCAAGGCTGCTGCTGGTGGCTGCTCACTGGGAGGGAGGTCCCTCACAGGCTGCTCTCCTTCACAGCCTTTGCTCGAGAGGAGTTTGAGGGGCGGGGAAGCAAGAGCACAGGCAGGGGAAGGAGGGAATGTCAGCGGGATGGCACAGGGGGCACCAGCAATGTCCCTGCCAAACATCCTGGGGATCTGAGTCTGCCTCCAGCACCTCAGGATCTCCGATGCCAGCCTCATGCGTGCGGCTTACCTGGCAATCAGAGTCATGAGCTGAGGGAGAAGCTGCTGCTTCTCCTTCATCGTCGTTCCCCTTCAGGGGATCCACATCGGGGGGCTGGAAGATCTCCAGGATCGAGGCTTTGATCCAAATGTTGCAGTTGGTGGCATCCTGCAGCTGGGACAGTTCTCTGTCCTCTTCCCTTCCTTGGTCCTCCTCTTCCTGCTCCTTCCCAGCCCTCGGTTCCTCCTGAGATCGCACAACGGGGATGAGGGGATGAGTGAGCTGCAGCTCAGCAGCGGAAGAGCTGGCCCCAGGCAGGGGGAGGCTCATCCCACTGTGCTGTCCCATCTTCTTCTCAGCACTCACGTGTCTGTGTTGGAGGTCCCGCTCCTCAGGGCCATCCAGCTGCCCATGCAGGCCGGCTCTCCTCTCCTCTGTCTTGGGGAGCACCAGGAATCTCCCTCCCACACGCAGCCCCGGGGAGGCAGCTCCTTCCTGCACCTCGGTATCTGTGGTGCCGCCCGCACGTGCCTCAGTCACTGGGTGCTGAGCATCCTGAGGCAAAGGAGAAGCGGCGGCGTCTCCTTCTTTATGTGCTGCGGGGGCAAGGTGGGGTGTGACAGCCTCTGCCCCAGGGATCTCTGCCAGGGCAGCTGCAGCTTTCCCCTCGTCCGCTGCCAGGCAGGCAAGGGTTCTGCTGTGCTCCCCCTGAGGCTTTGCTGCCCCAGGCGACTTGAGTGTTGCAGGTGGCATTGCCACCTTGGCCCCGGGCAGGCTTTTGGTCATGTCCTTCTGTTCCACCTGCCTCTTCTTGGTTTTCTGGGGCACGGCCACAGGTGGGAGCAGAGGCTTCCTCTCTTTGCCTGTGCCTGTGACCTGCAGAGCTGCCTTGAATCCTCTGCCGCTCTGCGGGGCAGGTGCCTGTCTCTGTCTCTGCGCTGTGGCCTCCTGCTTGCCAAAGCCATGGGAAGCTCGTGCTGGTGCCGCTGGAGGGAGAGGTGCCAGTTTCTCCTTAGTAGCTCTGGGCAGGCAGCTCCCCTTTGGCTGCTCCCTAGGGTTGATCTTGCTGGGCAGCGGGGGCAGACGCTGTGGAAGCACCTTGTGGTGTAGCCCCAGCGACCTGGTCTTGAGGCTGTCCTTGCTGCCCGTCGTCAGCATGGCTGGCAGGTGCTCGGCCACTCTCCCAGCGTTTCTCAGTGTGGGCTGAGTGGCAGGGGCCTTGCTGCTCTTGGCTGCCTGGACAGTGGCTGTTCTTGTGCTTGTCCCGGCAGCCCTGCTGCGTGGTGGCTCCTGCTGTGCCGCTGGCTGCTGGCGGGGTTCCTGCCTCCTTGCCACAGTTGGCAGCCTGCGGGAGCTGCTCATGGGTGTCTGTGAGCGAGGCGGTGGCAGGGGTGTCATTGCCACCACTGGTGGCAGACGAAGCGTCTGCTGCTGCGTTGCGCCGCTGCTGCGGGGCAGCACCACTCGGTGCCCCAGGCTGCCCGTCTGCAAGAGAAGCCGAGGAGAGGCTGTGTGATGGTGTCCCTTGTGTCTGTGTCACAGCTTATGCAGTTGTGCTCCCCTGCCAGCCCCAGGGCAGGGCTCAGCCCCGCAGGGGGCTGCCGCCTGCCCCCCAGTCCGGCAGGGGAGAGGGCTGGCCACCCGCAGCCCACGGCCACTGCCCAGAGCACCCCCGGCGTGCCCGGGCAGCCTGACGGGCACGGCACGGGGGGCTCAGCTTGCTCCCTCCTGCTCCTCCCGCTCCTCCCATGGTCGGGAGGACATTCAGCCCCGTCTCCCTCGCTCTCCCAACTAGTACCTGCTGGTTGATAACAGGGCGAAACCTCTGCTGGTAGGGCACCCGTGGCACGGTGATTCTTTGGCGGGACGAGGCCTGGCTCGGGCTGCCCTGCGGCTCTTCCTCGGGCTGCCTGCGGGCCACCTGCGGGCAGAAGGAGGAGGAAGAGGTGTGTGATGAATGCGGCTGCATTTGCACAGCTGCCCCCGCGGTGCCCGCAGGCCCGGCCCTGCACCCAGGCGGCTCCGTACGGCCCTGTCCCACCACCGTCCTCTCCCTCCTGCCCCGGCCCTCACCTGGCGCATCCTCTGTGCGCTCGTCCTGCCCTCAGCGGGCCGGGAACGGGCGTTCGCCTCTTTACCGACGGGCATCTCCCACGTCCTGGGACGCTGAAGTGCCGTAGGCTTCCAGGGAAACTGCTGCCTCCTGAGGGAGGCTGCTCCTCTGGCCTGGGGTGCTCCAGGGCTCTCGCTCCTTATATACCCCACGGTCAGCACGGGGGTACCTCCGTCACAATGGCCTCCGGGCACAAGGACTCCCCCTTCATCACAAAGCCTCTGAGGTCACGATGGCGATGCCTGCACCCATGACTGATGCCAGGCAGTCCCACAGCGTCTCCACAGCGACCACCGAGGCTTTGTGATGGCGGCGGCCCCAGGGCTTCTGCGGGCACTCAGAGAGTCAACCAGGTTGGAAAAGACCTTTAAGGTGATCAAGTCCAAGCATTCCCCAGCATAGCCAAGGCCGCCACTAACCCATGGCACTGAGGGCCTCGTCTACACACTGTCTACACTGTCTATGCCATTTCATAGGTGGAGATGGGCCAAGGGAAGTACCTACTGCAGACTTGTTTGCAAGGAGCCACGATTACTCCTTGTGCACGCTGCAGTGATGAAATTTTGAAGCAGCCAGTGCAAGACAGTGATGATTAGTGCAATTGTTGGCCATTCCCAGGACTGATGCACTACAAATAGTTTACACTGTCAGCCTGTGTTGAGATGAGAGTGAGGTTCGGTGCTTGAAGAAATGGAGAAATTGATTTGACAGAGATGCTCCGAGGTGTTCTTTTTTGCTCTTCCCTTCCGCTGATCTTGTATTTCTGATATAAAAATCAAAGGGAACAGCTGAGCATGAGAGTGTCTGATACCATTCTTTTGCACAACATGCCCCAACTTTCCTGTCACTCCACATTCCAGTTATTTTTACTGTGTCAGTGGCAAGCCATGAGCAGCCCACAGGGACAGGACACAGCATTACTTCACTGTGGGCCTCATAGAGGGGGAGGCTTGCCAATCCTTAATAGTGTAATAATAAAGTAGTTTATTAAATTAATATTCACTTTCAAGTCCTGAATGATTATTTTCTGAGGTTTTCACCTCTTCTCTGGTTTGTATCACTGACTGTGTTTTCCCTGGCTCACATCCTAGTGCTTCTTCTCCTTAATTGGGTGACTGAAATATTTCTAGCCAGAGAACAATGTGTGTGTCTATTTGTAGCATGCATTTTTAGGCAGTTAATCAATTCTGTCTGAAATTCTTTGGGGATCTGCAGACATTTTCACAAATTCCTGGCAGATGTTGCCATCAGAAGAGATGATGGGTAATGCAACCCCAGGTCTCTTTACCAACTGGTGTCAGTTTTTGTATGCTGGAATCCATGTCTCCTGTTTATTCTTAATCTGCCTGACTTCGGGATCAAACCCTGTTGCTTTTCATTAAATGTCAGTTTTCAAGCATGTGGGATGCTGTATAAATACATACCAAGAGGCAGTCCCTAACTCAAGGCAGCAGAGCGAATGTTGAAGACAGGTCTGGAGCAGGATATGACTTGCTCCAGGTGAAGGTATGGGCAAAAGCAGAGGCTTGGGGCATTGCCACACCCATGGGACATCTCCTGAGCAGGGTTGGTGGCACATGGTCAGAAAGGCAGTGTTGTCAACCAAGAGGACAAAGGTGGAGCCCAGAACCAGCTGGGTCACTAGAGGAAAGGGTGCTGCAGAGGGCAAGGGGTTGGATGCATCCCTTTTCCCTGGCTGAAATTTGGACCACATCCTGATATCAAATGTGGTGTGAAGGCCAAGGTGCCCAGGGTCATGTTCCCATTTGACTCTGATGCAGCAGAGCAGCTCCCCTATGCATGGCCTCACATGCAGGCTGGCAGCCTTGCCTGCCTGCCTGCTTTCCTGTCTGCTTGCTTTCCTGCTTGCCTGCCTTCCTGCCTGCCACAACGGGCATGAGATGCCTGGGTGGGGCTCAGATGCAGACTGTGGGGCACTGCCACCAGCTCATCCATCCTGTCCCAGGGAAAAGTGGATTGAAGTGCTTTAACCAGAGTCTCCAGGTCCTGCAGAGCCAGAATTAAAAACTGTCATTAGAAGCCATTGTATTTAAATTAAAGATAATCTTGGGTATAATGTGGGGAGAGGACACTGGGTGGAACTGGGGAGAAAGCTGCAATTTCCCTGCCATTGTCACTCAGCTCTCCCTGATTGCCAGGAACTGCTGCAAATCCCAGTGATTTCCTGAGCTAGGCTGTAATTTGCACCACGTGCAAGGAGCAGAGTGTCACCAGGCTCCCTGTCACCAGCCCCATCAGGGCTCTGATGGGCTGTCAGCTGGGCAAGCTGCTGTCAGCTTAGTGTGTTGAGTGGGGACAGCTCTTGCCACATCCTGCCCTGGTCCAGAGCATCACAGGAGCGGTGCCAGGGTGTAGCCAGGGAGATCTGGGGCCTCTGATGCATGGGTTGGTTTAGTATGTAATGTGTGTGTCCTCCTGGCTTCCCTAGGACTGAGTCGGTGGCTGAGAAGATGCTGACTAACTGGTTTGCCTTCCTCCTCCACAAGTTTCTCAAGGTAAGGAGGGATGGAGCTGAGACGCTGCTGCTGCTGCTTTGCTGTCTGCCCCAGGGTGAATCTGGACTTGAAACTCTTCAGTCAGGCTCCAAGTCAAATGAGGGGAGGCGGGAGATGGAAATTTGCTCCGGGGACACCTACACCCAGGGATGCTGTTACATGGGCTGAGTCAAGCTGCCACAGCCTCTGTGCTCAGCATTCTTCAATGTGGTGTCATTCCCATGTAGTGGAGTTTCTGTTGCGCCTCTTTAGTACTTGGGAGAAATTCTCACTCCCACCTCCATGCCTGGGCTTTCATATTTCTTAACTTTATTTATGGTTTTGAAGCCCCAAAGAATGTGCTTCATAGGAGTGAATGAGGAGATCAAGATCTCAAATTGCTGTTTTTTTACAGCCATATAGATTCTATAGAGATTTGCCAAGCCAAAGACAACATACCCATCGAGCAATGGAGCTTGTGGTTTTGGCTGTCTTCCCCAAAAGCTGCTGGAGGCTGAGCCTAGATTGCACATGTGCTAAAGGTTGAGTCAATGAGACTATGAATCATGTGCAAAACCTGCTGTGCTGTCCAGGAGCCCTGAAGGAGATTCACCTTCACCTCTGTGTTAGTTTTGCTGTCTGTCTCATTGTGTAGGAGTGTGCTGGGGAACCGCTCTTCATGCTCTACTGTGCCATCAAGCAGCAGATGGAGAAAGGCCCAATTGATGCCATCACAGGAGAAGCTCGTTACTCACTTAGTGAGGACAAGCTGATCCGGCAGCAAATTGAGTACAAGACTCTGGTGAGTGATCACTGTAAGAGCTGCTATTGAATTACTTCTCTCTGCTTGCACTTGAGCTGTTGTGACCTTTAGGTCTGTAATTAAGTGTCGTGGTTTAAACCCAGTCAGGTAACTCGTTCACTCACTTCCCCCCCCCCCCTTCTTGCCCTCCCCCTACTCCCAGAGGGACGGAGAGGAGAGTCAAAAAGAATGCAACTCCCACGGATTGAGATAAGAACAGTTTAGTAACTAAGGTATAACACAGATCACTACTGCTACCACCAATAATAATAATGATAAAGGAAATAACAAGGGAAGAGAATACAACACCTCAGCACCAGCCGACCGATAACTCGCCCCCCAAGCCCGACCAAGCTCTGACCCATACCTCCCCCAACCCTGCAGTCCCCCAGCCCTTCCGGGTAACTCCCAGTTACATCCTGGGCATGACGTGCTGTGGTATGGAATAGCTCTTTGGTCAGTTTGGGTCAGGTGTCCTGTCTCTGCTTCCTCCCGGCTTCCCCTCCTCCCTGACAGAGCATGAGGCTCACAAAGTCCTTGGTCAAACCAAAACACCCTTGTTATCAGCTCTGTTCCCAAGCCGAAAGTCAAAACACTGCACTGCACCAGCTACCAAGAAGGAGAAAAATGACTGCTACTGCTGAACCCAGGGCATTAAGACACCACCATGAAGCTTAAATGTTATCAGTGCTATTAAGTCTCACTCAACTGAGGTGCATGCCTAATTTGCAGGTAGAAATAGCCTGAGATAAGGTTTTGGAAGGTAGGGTCTGAGTGGAGCATTTTATCTTCCTGTACACTGACCTCCCTCTAGCAGGTAAAAATGGACATAGAATCATAAAATCATAGAATAGTTTGGGTTGGAAAGGACCTTAAGATCATCTAGTTCCAACCCCCCTGCCATGGGCAGGGACACCTCACACTAAACCATCTCACCCAAGGCCTCGTCCAGCCTGGTCTTGAACACTGCCAGGGATGGAGCATTCACAACCTCCCTGGGCAACCCATTCCAGTGCCTCACCACCCTAACAGGAAAGAATTTCCTCCTTATATCCAATCTAAACTTCCCCTGTTTAAGTTTTAACCCATTACCCCTTGTCCTACCACTACAGTCCCTAATGAAGAGTCCCTCCCCAGCATCCCTATAGGCCCCCTGCAGATACTGGACATCCAGGACTCCTATCTCAGTAATCAAAGATATACTAGATACAATTACGGATGCAGTGGATTTTTTATGAGGTCAGGTTGTTTTGACACATGTGGTTACAGTTCTCCTGGATGCTTGTCTGAAGCCCATGGTGCGGTTCTCCTTCCCTTCCAGATCCTAAACTGTGTGAACCCAGATAATGAGAACAGTCCAGAGATCCCTGTGAAGGTGCTAAACTGTGATACCATCACTCAAGTCAAAGAGAAGATCCTTGATGCAGTATACAAAAATGTCCCATACTCTCAGAGGCCAAGAGCTGTTGATATGGACTTGGGTAAGCTTCCTTGCCTCATAGATGGGGAAGATTAGAGAGGTTGATCAGTGATTCTGGGTGGATTTTGCAGGGCTTGAAGACCAGAGATCAGACTGCACAACACCATATATGTTTCAGCCCAATGAAAGCATGGGCTGTGCTCCTGACAGATAGGTTTTGAGCTCTGAGGGAGCTCCATTGACCACAGAGCAAATGATTCCTGAAGCTTCCTTCACTCTGCTGAGAATTTAGCTTTATCTTGGTGTCTCTTCCTGGGAAGTGGGCTTTTCTAAAGGCTTATCTGTCTAGTAGTTACTATTCAAAAGTAGATAGAGCCTTTTAGTATCTTTTCTGTCTCTGACCATATGTCTGTCTGGTTTCTTGCCTCTCCTGCAGAGTGGCGGCAGGGCCGGATAGCTCGTGTGGTCCTGCAAGATGAAGACATCACCACCAAGATCGAAGGAGATTGGAAACGCTTGAACACCTTGATGCATTATCAGGTAAGAAAGCAGCCCCAGCAGACAGCTCCCAGAACACTGTTAAGAGAAAAGAAAAGGAAAGATTTAATTCCCAAGTATCTTGTCTACCAAGACAGATGGGGAAGTCCCATTTGTATGATAAACCAGAAGGGTTCAATGTGCTCACGCATTAGATGGGAAAACAACCTTGACATGGATCTTAGAGAAACTAGCAGGGTTGAAAATTGGCTAAATTAAACCCATCAGCTGTGCTAGTGAGACACAGAGAGCAGTGGTGATGGCTGAGCTGCTGCTGCTGGAGATGCAGGGCCAGAGGAAGGGTGGTCTGCGTGGCTCAGGTCTTCACATGGGGTTCTGAGGCAGGGAAGGAAGAGGAGTCTCTGCCTTCCTCCAGAGCTTTGCGGACACAACACGACCTGATGCAAAGCACAGGCTGCAGCAGCAGCTCATCTCTCGTACTTGTGAGCTTCCTATGTGCTGGCTCTTGAGCATCATTCAAGGAGTGAAGAAGGAAAGGCTGCATGCCTGAGCCTAGGCTGCTCTGGATAGGCATGCATCTGTCAGAAAGGGCTTCTAATAGGCTGGGAAAGATGGAAAGAGAGGTAATGATGGAGCTGGGGAGGCTTTGGTTAAAGAGAATCAAAGCCTGTCTGCAACAGAGGATAACTGCATTAATTGGCACCTGTAACCTACTACTGTCCATCACTACCTGCACAGAAGTGTTAAGTATTTAATCTGGCATCTTTCCCTGTTTATACACTGTCTCGAGTCCATCAGCATGACTCATGCTGTGTAAGTTGAATGTGAGCCACTATTGACAGGAGCCATATCATCAGGGAGTGAGGCAGAGAAAGTGGCATAAATATGCAAAGTACATCTAAAAAAGCACCAGGAGGGTCGACTTTTCCAAGCTGCCCAAAGGATTTAAACACAGATTACCATAAAATGTCATAGGAGTTGTGCAGGTTAACTCCGTTGTTTCTGAAATCTGTTTTACCTGACAGTTACAAGGGATTAACCAATATGCAGGGAAGCAGCAAGGCTTGATTATGCCTTGATGTTTAAAAGTCATCTTAAGGAAGACACAAGTGAAAGCCGTGTTTGTCTGATGTGTGTTGGATGCTAGGGGAGGGAGTCCTTTTACTTCAGTGCCTGTGGGGAAATCCAAGCCACAAATTTACCCTTAAAATAAACAAAATCCTTCCAGCACTCAAGATGTTGCAGCTATTCCTGCCATTTGAATGTCACTTTTGCTCTGGAACACAGCAAAAGTTTGCTGCCAGGCATCTGAATAGGTACCAACTGCTCATGTCCTCTCCTCACTCTGGCCCCAGCTCTACACAGCCCAGCAGAGCTAGTTCATGCATTAAAAAGAAGCCAAGTTCTCTGTATTGCAACAGAAATCTTGTTGAGGCAGAGCTTTTGCCAAAGCCAAACAGCAATATTTGATTTTTTTCTGGTATTCCTACCAGGGTTTTGTTTGGTTTTTTTTCTGTTTGGGCAATAGATGTTTTTATTAGGTATCAAAATACAGATGCTCCAGGACTATAGACTAAAAGATGTGGGCAAAGGCATAGCTTAGAAAAGGGTTGAAAATCGTTTGAGTATCAAAGGCTACTGTCTCACTGCTTAATAGGTGTGCTACGTATAAAGCAGGTATGGTTCAAGTCATTCCCTAATGCCTAATACCTAAAGGTAAAGCTTTCATCATTTTTTATTCAGAGCTGTATTGTCTGTATTCAGATCTGAAGGCAAAGTGGTTTCTGGATTTGCATGCAGTAGCTGGAGGTGAAAGCAGCCTCCTCCTGCTCACCGTGCTGTGGGCAGGGTGCTGAGGCTCTGCAGAGGGCAGTGATTTAACTACAAGAGGATTTTGACACTGTTACATTGGGTTTCTCTATGTTTAGGATGACAAATCCAATATACGTCTGCATCAACTGATAAAATCTGTTTTTCATGGGAAGCCTTCACATGAAAAACTAGATTGGATTTAGAGAAAAAGATTCATCTTTCTGTAACATTTTTGAACCACCTTATAGAATTATAGAGAGAACTGTATCCCTGCTGCTTACTTGTTCCATTATAAATATAGATGTGTTAAGTTAAATAGGTGTAATTCTTTGTTAAATTCTCCAGAGCTATGTTGTAAGGAATTGTATTCCATTTGTGTAGCATCCTTCTGGTTTCATGCCTATTAAAACTCCATGGGAGAGTCTCACCCCATGTGGCTTTACTCAAGAAAAATGAAACACTGGATTTAATATCAGATGATTTACAGTGGCTCACGCAGGGTTAACTCCTAGGCAGCAGAGCATGAATACCTGTCAGCCACTGTGAGCTGGGAAAGGCTGAGAGACTAGAAAACTGCTTTAAATGAGAAATTAGAAGCAGAGAGGGAAGATATGTGTGGGAAATGAGACCTGGGAGCCGAGGGTGGTGTGAATGTGGAGCTGCCATCCTCACCGCATCCTCACAACCCCACGCAAGCTCAGTGTTCTCATCTGGGCTTCTGCACCACTGCTCTCCCTGCTCTGGGTTTGGGGTTTCTTGTCTTTAAGGTGTTTTGCACAGCATGTTTCCAGCTTGGAGAAGAATTGGAATATTTATAAAGTTGTAAAAGAGCCAGGCAGCTCTTTTTCAACCCAGGCATCCCTGGGGTTTTATGGGAAAGTAGCAACAGCAGAGCAAGATGGGAAGTGAATGTGTGTAACATCTGATGCTCATTTGCACGCTGGTGGGTTTTAGCTGGCAAAAGCCATTCAACCCAAAATTTAGAGAGTGAGAGTGCTCTGTGTGTGTGTGTATGTAATTTGTAATGCTGCTTCTCTCCCAGTTAACCACAGCTCTGGTGGAAACAGATCCCAACACAGTGGCCAGGGAGCTATTGCCTCTGTGGGAACATGCTGGGCTGCCGGCACACTAGGGTTTCTCCCTAGTGAAATGGAACTGAAGTGACAGCTAGTAACAGCCTAAGAAAATAGTATCACCCCTGGTTGTTTCTACTGTTGACTTAATCAGTGGGATGAAGTGAGGCAGGAGCAGAAGAGGAAGTAACAGAGGTGTTTGAAGTGTTTTGCTTAAAAATAACTGACTTTTGTACTGGGAAACACAAGGGACTATTATTTCCACTGTCACTAGCAATAATAATAACTCACATTTACATGGAACCTTTCATCTGAATGGAACCCGGAGCATTGAAGGTGGTGAAATTGTTGTGTGCAGGTCACCTTGCTGCAGCAGATGTACAAACATCCTTGTGCTGAGAGAGCAGGATGATGCCGGGCCAGCAAAATCCAGATGCTGCCATGGAGCTTCCCCATGTGTAGGGACAGGGCTCCTGGCAAATAATGGAGGATTTAGCTCCAGAAGCATTTCTCCAGCACAAAGAGGCATTTCTTTTGTGCAGCTTCTCTAAATGATTTGTTGGCTGGGCCCCAGTGGGTCCATCACCTGTAAGATCATAGAATCACAGAATGGTTTGTGTTGGAAGGGACCTTAAAGCTCCTCCAGTTCCAAGCCCCTGCCACAGGCAGGGACCCCTTCCACTCGAGCAGCTTGCTCCAAGCCCCTGTGTCCAACCTGGCCTTGAGCACTGCCAGGGATGGGGCAGCCACAGCTTCTCTGGGCACCCTGTGCCAGCGCCTCAGCACCCTCACAGGGAAGAGCTTCTGCCTAAGAGCAGACTTGTGGTGCCTCTGCTCTCTGCTCCCTTGTGCTGCACCACAAGCCACAAGTTCAATGTTAAAAGACACTTAGGCCATTCCTTTGAAACCTGCAGATCCTTAATTAAGGGAAATGAGTTAAAAAACTTCCAGTGACTACTAGATTTATAGGGAGGATAAAATTAAGCATGGCTACTAAAATCTGCTATAACAAAATCTTGTTAGCACTAATGTTCATTTATAGTTTGACTTCCCAGCATTTAATTCCTTCTCTGGTGCAGTAGAGGGACTGAATTTAATACCCTGAAAGATGGCTTTATGATTTGCTCAGCTGTAAATCAAACTTTTAAAGTTTGTAAAAATTGCTAAAATAAAAAATGTTTTAATAGGAATGTTTTATGGGCCATAACGTTATTACAGCCCTTTTATTCCCTCTGCATTGTTACTTTAATTGGATCACAACAATTCTTGAGATGCTCATTTTTATGGGATAAAACATAATCTTAAATCAGAACGACCAAAAACATCTTCAGTACATCTTTTGATTTATCACTCCTTTCCTTCAGTCCCTTGCTGCAGAGCTGCTGCTGACCCAGCACAGAGCCCAGGCTGGGTCTTGGAGACTCACCATGACCTGGCCATGTGCGCTGACAGCCCAGCAACCACCTATGTCCTGAGCTGCATCCCCAGCAGCGTGAGCAGCAGCTTCAGCCTGGAGAAGGCTCCAGGAAGACTTAGAGCAGCTCCAGTGCCTAAAGGGGCTACAAGAAACCTGGAGAGGGGCTTTGGACAAGGGCCTGTAGGGACAGGCCAATGGGAATGGCTTTAACCTGCCCGAGGGGAGACTGAGATGAGCTCTTAGGCAGAAGCTCTTCCCTGTGAGGGTGCTGAGGCGCTGGCACAGGGTGCCCAGAGAAGCTGTGGCTGCCCCATCCCTGGCAGTGCTCAAGGCCAGGTTGGACACAGGGGCTTGGAGCAAGCTGCTCGAGTGGAGGGGTCCCTGCCTGTGGCTGGAGCTGGAGGAGCTTTAAGGTCCCTTCCAAGACAAGCCATCAGATGGCTCCATGATGCTATGACTTTCATGCCTGCGTTTGCAGGAGGAGCAGCTGGTGTTCGCGGTGTGAATGGTGGATCTCACTGATCTTTCTTTGCCTCTCCAGGTATCTGACCGCTCAGTTGTGGCTCTCGTTCCCAAGCAGACCTCCTCCTACAATATTCCTGCCTCTGCCAGTATATCCCGGACATCTATTAGCAGATATGGTAAGAAGCAGAGTTCAGGGCTGGGAAACAATGGCTCATGTATAGCGATTGAGCATTGCTCCAGCTGCACTGCACATTTTTGAGCCAGACTGGAGCTTGCAGCTTTACTTGAAAATGTATCTTGATGGTGCTGGTAATGAAGCTGCCTTTAATGCAGGGGGGCAACACTTTAAGGGAATTCGATTGAGAAAGAGCAGCTGCTTCCCTCAACCGCACCACGTCAGCCAGGATGAATGTACATTCTGGTGCCAAACAGCAAAATGTCCTTGGCTGCTGTGTTTTTGGAAAGGCTTTTCCATCTCTGAGCAGAACAGCAAAAAAAAGACCAGAGAACTGAGAGGAGGGAAAAAGAAATGCCAAGCATGTAAGCAGCTGTTGGAAATGTGGGGCTTGGAAAAGCCCAGGGAAAGGCTTTTGGCTCAGATGGGCTGGATGCTGTAGGAAAGCAGCTTTGTGTCCCTTGCATACAAGCAGGGCTACGAGAGAAAAGCCTGATTCCTTCATCTATTGCTCTCTAAGTGGAGGATCCTGAATTCTTAACTAATGGGTCAAAGATGGGAAATGGCAATGTTCAGGGATGTACACACCTGGGAATTCATTATTTGCATAATAGCAAGGCTCAGCTCTTCACAGAGGGTCCCTGAAGACACTGCAGCCTTTGTAAATGAGCCTGTGACGGGCCAGGTGTGCATTTATAGCACTAAACCCACAATAATAGTAATCATAGACTTCCATAAAAGGCAGCAGTGGCAAAATCTCCAGTGTGCTGATCTTTCATTATCTCTCAATTTACAGAGTGTTCCACAAACGAGAGGTCCCCTGACAAACCCCATCTCCTCTTCTTGTTTAGAGCTCCCAAAATAACGTTATTGAAGGGTTCTGAGGAGCCATTCACAGGAGAATCTTAGGGAAAAGCCAGGAGAAAAGGCATTTCTCCCTGAGAGGTATTGTCCACCCATGTGCCCAGCACTCCCCATGCTTCAGGTGATGGAAAAGTCAAGGCTGGGTCACACAACCCGAATCCTCGGTGCTCAGTGGTCTGTGTCAGATGGAAAAGCTTTTGCAAGCAACCAATATGAACTATCATTGCTCATGCGTAAGATTAATGCTTCTAATTGTGCCGACAGAATTTCAATGAGATACTTATTTACTTCCCCCAGTATATATCAGCACAGAGCTATGTTTAAAAATAGAATTCCTAGATGCTTCCTTAGCTGTCCCCCTGTCTGTCTCCTTAATTATATCAGTTGGAGTACTCATTTATCTAAGCCTTAATCAGGGATGAAAATCTAGCTACTTTCATAATGACTTCTGTATTTCCCTCGGCTGATTTATGATTGATCCCCTTACTCTTGATGAGGAGGCTGAGCAAGGAATTGGAGGCTAAACTTGAGCAAATGCACAGGGTTCCCAGGGAACAAAGAAATGTAGGGAGAGAAAAAATCCCAGCAGCACACCTTTGTGCCACTCAGCCCTGGGTCTTGCCTTGAAGACACTGTGGATGGGATCCAGGGAGGCACATTCTTTGGGAAGTTAAATAGATCTCACATCCCTCCATGGTTTTTTAGCAATTAAGGGAAAAATCCTTTGTCTGCTCCCCTTTGAGCTCCCTTTCTCTGCAGGAGGAGGGCAGAGGCAGGGACCACAGGGAGGCTGGATGGGAGGCTGGGATATAGGACTGGCCTCGGGCTCTGGCATTGGTGCTCAGCTGGAGCCCTTGTTGCTCTAATGAAAGCCTCAATACCAGGAACAGAGTTTCCTCTGCTCTTTGTGCTGGTTGTGCTGGGCAGCTTGTTATTACAGATGTCAGGACTCTGGTGCTGCAGGAGCTGGTGCCCAGGATTGATTTGTGAGAGCAAGTTACAACTTGTATGGATCTGGATTACTGAGTTTACATAAGTAAAGGTTGTGCATTAAGCAGGAAAGTCCCATGTCTGAGTATGAAAACAGAAGGGCTGGAATCTGAGGGACTGTATTCAGTGATTCATGTTCTGAGATCTGGAGGAGCTCTGCTGTGGAGCCAGGCTGAGAGAGCTGGGCTTGCTCAGCCTGGAGAAGGCTCCGGGGAGACCTTAGAGCAGCTCCAGTGCCTGAAGGGGCTTCAGGAAACCTGGAGAGGGGCTTGGGACAAGGGATGTAGGGACAAGCCAGGGGGAATGGCTTTAACCTGCCCGAGGGGAGACTGAGATGAGCTCTTAGGCAGAAGCTCTTCCCTGTGAGGGTGCTGAGGCGCTGGCACAGGGTGCCCAGAGAAGCTGTGGCTGCCCCATCCCTGGCAGTGCTCAAGGCCAGGTTGGACACAGGGGCTTGGAGCAAGCTGCTCGAGTGGAAGGGGTCCCTGCCTGTGGCAGGGGGTTGGAGCTGCATGAGCTTCAAGGTCTTTTCCAACCCAAACCATTCTTCGATAGGACCAACATGTATCTTTGGCAGACACCATATTTTCTTGGTGCCTGAGTGGAATTATGCTTCATTACCCCATACAAAAGCCAGTGTGGGTGACTCTGGCATTAGTGAGCATAGTGGCATCACTGAGAAGACACAGGGAAATGAGCAAGGGGTTTGCTATGAGCGTGACTGACTTCTCCTCCCATTGTTCAGACTCCACCTTCCGCTACACCGGCAGCCCCGACAGCCTGCGCTCCCGGGCCCCCATGATCACCCCCGACCTGGAGAGTGGTGTCAAGGTCTGGCACTTGGTCAAAAACCACGACCACGGAGACCAGAAGGAAGGGGACCGGGGCAGTAAGATGGTGTCTGAGATCTACCTGACCAGGCTCTTAGCTACAAAGGTAACTTCATGCACCAGATCCCTTGAGAAGTATACAGGGAGATTCGTCTATACACACTCGCCTTTGCGGCCCCTAATGATGCTTGGGGGTGGCTGTTCGTGTCGGGCTTTCCCGGGACCCTGGGTTGGTTGGCTACAGGTTGGAGCATTCCCCCGGTGTTGGTAAAGACCCTGACCTTACTTATACCTTGAGGTCCATGGTGGCACTTTATGGGGCTGCGCAGAGCTAGTAACACCATCTGGCATCCCCCTTGCTACCACAGCTGCCCATCCCTCCTGTCACCTCTTCCCTTGCTGTTTCCGTTAGGGTACGCTGCAGAAGTTTGTGGATGACTTGTTCGAGACACTGTTCAGCACCGTGCACCGTGGCAGCGCGCTCCCGCTCGCCATCAAGTACATGTTCGATTTCCTGGATGAGCAGGCAGATAAGCACGGCATCCATGACACAGACGTGAGGCACACGTGGAAGAGCAATTGGTAAGGATGGAGGAAGAGGGTGGAAGGAGGCACAGTTATTTGTGTGCTAGAGAAAAACAGATAGGGAAGAGCTTCACGAAGGCTGGGAACAACCAAGTCCCATATCTCCAAAGCATGGAATGTACCGTGAAGTCATGCTGATGCTTTTCAACAAGCACCACTGCTGCCCCAGTGCCCCATGGGTATATGGCCGTGGGGTTTGCTCCTGGATCATGCTGCCCCATGTGTACACATGAGCTGAAATCCTGGTGCAGTGTTGAACCGCAGACTCTGGTGTCTCTGGGTCCTCTACCCAGTTTGGTCCTGAGCACTGTCCTCAGGTTGTAGATCCACACTCATGGACTTTGGATATCACTGGGTTTGCAAAGTCTGCTCCATGCCTGCACCATCCTGCCTACACCACCCTGCCTGCACCACCATGAATACCAACACAGGCTGCTCAGTGCCTGCTACATCTTCCCCATCACTTCAGGCAGCAGCTGGAGGATTTGGGCAGCAGAAGGAGGTGGCAAAGGGGGAAGGAGCCAGCATAGACTGCAGCCAGGTTCAGCCTCCTCCAAACAATAAGAGCTCTCACATTTACACCGCTGCTGTTATTTTAGGATTAAAAGCTCTGTGGGTTAGAAATTTAACATGGGTTAGGAAAAATAAAGGCACCACAAATGGTTGCTCCCTGAAGAATTTGTATTTTCAAACCTAAGTCCCTTGTGGTTTAAAAGGCCTCTAACCATTGTGGCTGCAAGAGCTGGGTTCCCTGCTAAGGTTGCAGGAGGCTAAAAACTGTTTACTGATAGTCTAAAAGAAGGAGTTATTTGGATAAAAACTCTTGAATCATCAAGAAAAGATGAGACTTCTTAAAGCAATAAAAAAGCAAGTGTCAACCAGCAGAGTTTGCTCTGCCAGAGCCATCAGACCACAGAGCCCTGGTCCTTCCCTCTGCACCCAGGGCATGGGAGGCTCAGGAGAAGGGCAGAAATTTGGTCTCTGAACTAACAGCTCTGCTGAGCACTTTGCTTGGCTGCAGCATTCCCAAATGGGAATTTTACTGGGGAAAAGGGGGGGGGGGGGGGGGGGGGAGAGTGTTGTGACACTGGAGCAGGTTGAAGCAAATGGCTTGGAAAAGAGATCTGGGGGTCGGTAGAGCTGTGCTGCTGGGGATGTGGTTGAGCTGCTTGCCTGAAGTGCAGCAAGGGTTAAGTCTTCCGTGCAGCTAGCTGAATAGATGGAGAGAGCCGAGACTTGAAAGGTAATAGAAAGCAGCAGCTGTTTTTTTGATCCTGCTATACAGGCAAAGAAAAAAGGAATAATAATTCCCCTTTGATTACAAAGGCCTCGGGATTTGGGGACAAAGCCTCTGATGCCTGCTGCACCGCTTAGCAGATGATGGACTGTGGAGTAACCAGGCAGCAGCTCAGCCCTGCCATAGGCTCCTGCTCTAATGAACTCAGTTTAATGGGCTCCTGGTGGAACTGCTCAGGCATAGCATGACCCATGACAAGCAGTCTGGGCGGCAGTGGGCTAACTGGTGTTGGATGGGCCTGGCCCAGCTCCTGGCCAGATTACTGTTGCTTCCCACCATTCACATTCTGCTTGGGAACACAAACTGCAGCACGTGTCCTTTCCTAGTCTTTGTTTTAACATCTAATTTGGTTTCTTGACAGCCTGCCTCTGCGATTCTGGGTGAACGTCATCAAAAACCCCCAGTTTGTGTTTGATATCCACAAAGGCAGCATCACAGATGCCTGCCTCTCTGTTGTGGCTCAGACCTTCATGGATTCATGCTCCACCTCAGAGCACCGCCTGGGCAAGGATTCCCCTTCCAACAAGCTGCTGTACGCCAAGGACATCCCCAGCTACAAGAGCTGGGTGGAGAGGTGAGCAGCAGAACATGGGGAGAAGCAGCTTTACCCTTGGTGGGTGATGATGCAAGGGTGGCTCTTGCAGTGAGCTGGAGGCACAGCCCTGCTGAGCATCACTGCTCTTGTTTTCAACTTCATAGAACAGAATCATAGAAAGGTTTGGGTTGGAAGGGACCTCAAAGCTCCTCCAGTTCCAACCACGGCAGGGACCACTTCCACTGGAGCAGCTTGCTCCAAGCCCCTGTGTCCAACCTGGCCTTGAGCACTGCCAGGGATGGGGCAGCCACAGCTCCTTTGGGAACCCTGTGCCAGCGCCTCAGCACCCTCACAGGGAAGAGCTTCTGCCTAAGAGCTCATCTCAGTCTCCCCTCTGGCAGGTTAAAGCCATTCCCCTTGGCCTGTCCCTACCCGCCCTTGTTAAAAGCCCCTCTCCAGCTTTCTTGTCAGCCTCTTCAGACACTGGAGCCTCTTCCAGACCAGGATCATGTTTTGCTAGATGTAAGCATAAAGCAAAACAATGTCCTTCTCCCTGCAGTCTTAGTTTCAATCCCAAGGAGAAGAGGGACAGTTTTAGTTTCCCATGGCCTCCCACAGCCTTTCTTCCCACAGGTATTACGCAGACATCGCCAAGCTCCCTGCCATCAGTGACCAGGACATGAATGCCTACCTCGCCGAGCAGTCGCGCCTGCACTCCGTCGAGTTCAACATGCTGAGTGCGCTCAACGAGATCTACTCCTACGTCAGCAAGTACAGTGAGGAGGTGGGTGTCCCCTGGGGTAGGCACAGAGGTGATGCTGCCCTGTGGTGCACACACAGCATAGGAGAGGAGCCGTGTTTCTGTGCAGTACTGGGATGTGCAACAATCCCCCTTGTGCCTTCCTCCTTGTCCTTGATGCAGCACAGCTGTAGCTTGCACCACTGCTGCCTTGCTCTGTTCATGCACATAGAGATTCTGGTCCTGGCCATGCCTGTAGCATGCTTTCCATAAGATTTGATATCTAAAATACTGTGGGAGCAACTGGATTCCTCAGCCTTGGCATACACCCAGCGCAGCCCCCTCTTAAATGCAGTGGAAAATCGTCATGACCCAGTGAAGCTCCTCAGAAACATCCCCATCTTTTGGGAACAGCATGGTACAAATCCCATGTTGTAGTGACGCAGACTCGTGTTTGCAAAGAATTGCTGGCAGTGTGAGTGCCTTTAATGAATGCATCACTTGAAACCAAGTTCTCACCATCTGTTCCACCCCTTCATTTCAGCATAAGACGAACCGATTTTGCCATTATGCCCATTAAAAGGAAGGGGTTTGTCATTTAATTGCATGGATGCATTTGTAATACAATGCCACTCGATGAGGGTTTAAAAATCTCATTACTTTCCTGCTAAATGAGACAAGAAATGTAGAGTCCAAGGTACAAGAGTGGGAATGATGGTGGTGCATGATAACATGCTTTTCTTGCACCGAGAAGTCCAACAAATGGGTGGCACAGCTGCGGTGAAGCGCTCAGCACATTGCTTTGCTGCTTGTTATTTAAGTTTCACACATCCCCATTTCAAGTTGCTCACATCTTGCTGCCCACCCACCTCCACCTCCCCCTCTCACGCACTGATTCTTTCTCTTGTGTTTTTTCCTCTTCCTTTTTCTGTACCAGCTCATTGGGGCTCTGGAGCAGGATGAACAGGCACGTAGGCAGCGTCTGGCATACAAAGTAGAGCAACTCATAGGTGCCATGTCTATTGAGAGCTGAAGAAGGGTTGCGGTGCTCAGCCGGCAGCAAAGGGCAGAGGATTGCACAGACTCTCGGGAATTCAGAGGGAGAACAAGCAAGGAAGGCACTGGACACGTATAAATATGAGGGCTGTTCTGGAGGGAGCGGAGACAGGCCCAAGGACTGACCGTGTTCCAAATCATACAGGATCCGGCTTGAAAAGGCAGGAAGAGAAAAAATACAAAGCATCTCAATCCAAGTCAAATCAAGATGGATCTTTTTTTCAAGCATACATGGAAAGAAGGAACCTGGAAAGTCTGGATGTCTCCATGACTGCTGCTTTGCATGAAAATTGTTTGATGTATATTAGAAAATAAAACTTTATTTAAAGGTTTTTTTAAAAAAAAAAACGGAAAGAAAAAAAAAAGAGAAATAGAGCAAAAATCACAGAGGCCACAGAGAAAATCCTGGCAAGAAGGAACAAGGTTCAGCTCTGACTCCTGTCCTCGAGAGACTCCTGAGGCCACGGCTCAGGCATCCTGCGAACGGACTCTTATGCCAATTGGGAAGTCTGGAGAACCAAAATGTTCTTCTTTTTTGGGATCTTATCAAGAAATACGAGCACAAGTTTGCACCACACCTTTTTACACAAGTAAAACAGCAGCTGAGCAAGAAAACAGTTCAGTGGCTGAGTAACTTAGAGGCTCTAAGAGGAACTTTACCTGAATTGCGAAACCATCAGATCATCCAATCTGTCTTGAAATCCAGCTTTATGTATTTATATAGTGTCAATATATATATATTTTTTAAATCCCACTTTCTGTTGAATGAGGAAAGACCTGATTTTAAATGCTTTCCCCTTCTCCCCCATCCCATCTTGCTGTCTGCCAGCCTCCATGGTGAGCCAGCAGCACCCTCGGCCATGGCCATACCCAGTTGGCACATTGCTGGTCCAGTTGGAGCAGAAGGGGCTGGCTGCCCTCTCCCTGTTAGGCAGGGCTCCTGGGTTGGGTTTTGGGGGGTTTCTGGCAGCACCTCTGATTTCTTGCAGTAAAAACCAACAACCCCGCCATGTTTACAGTGAGTGATACTTGAAAAGACTCGGTGCAGTGAGATGAGATGTTTCTTGCTTTTCTGTTTGACTTGCCAAATTGATGAGCACAGCTTAGAGGTTCTCAGTCAACATTAGCAGTGTTGCCCAGGGTCAGGCCCAGAATGTGTGTTTCCACTGAGAAAGAGATCTTTGCTCTAGGCAAGGGAAAACCTTAACCAGCACTCCACGGCCAGCTAGCGCTGCTGTCTTGTCTCTGTCTCGGCGTGTCGTTCTATTCAGTTCCTTGCTGGCCCCACTGGCACGTGTTCTTGTGGCCAGTGACAGGCAAGTGTTTGTGAGTGTTATTTCTTTCCAAGACACCAAAGCTTATGTGTGTCCGTTTGTAGAGTGCCAGGAGGGGAAGGAACACTGTAAATATTTCTCTGTCTAATAAATGCTGATCTTTGTGCAGGCTGCAGTAGGGAGGACAGCGTGATGAGGGCTCATGGGAATACAAATAGGGACAGCATCGGCTTGGCAGTGGCAGCAAAATAGCTTCAGGCAAGATAGCTCAGTCCTGCCCGGGCAGTGCTGTGCCAAACTGGGACCTTACTTTGCAGCCAGTGTGTGTCAAAGGAAAATCCATTCTCCTATCTCCCCCTCCTCCACCAGAGAAGCCCAGGAGAGTCACCACAGGCTCCCTGTCCACCAGGCTCTTGGTCTCAAGATGCAGTCCTAAGGGGAGCCAGCATCAAGGGAGGATAAAAGCATGTAGAGAAGTACTCAGGAAGCTACTTGCTTTAATTACAGTTCAGTAAAAGCCATGCCAAGTCCACTTTCTTTGGGTAATCCACTTCTTTGAGTTTTTTGGGGCCCTGTTAATACTCTGGAAGAGAATACTAATGCTAATGATCAACCTTGTGCAATAAGTTCTTGACATTTACAACAGCCTGAGCTTTGTAACTGGAGGGCTTGGATTTACTGAGGCAGGAGAGAGCTGGAGGAGGGACTGAGCAGCAGAGCAGGATTCCTACTGCCTATTATCAGAATTCCCTTCCCAGGGATCCTTCTCTGCACAGTGAATCTGATTGCAAAGACACAAAATGTGCAGGTTCTCATCTTTTTTCACTGGTTTCTGTTGCTGCTGTTCGCAGTGATCCAGCACACAGCTTAGGAAGGATTTCCAGATCTGTATTCTTCACTGTGGTCATTGTTTTGGGTATTTGTATTCAGCTCATTCACCATATTTTTATGGTACTCTGAAACCCAAAGAAAGCTCTTCCCAGTGGTTTCCAAACAGTTCCCAAACACTTCTAGTCTGAATAGTTACCTCTGCAGGATTCACAAAATACGAGTACTGCCCGAAGCAAAGACCTGGCTCCTCATCACCTGGCTGCTGGTGAACATGGACCAGCTCAACAGTCCAAGTCTTGGTCCTCTTTTCTTCACATCTATTTGAGAGGCTTTTGAGTAGCTGCTTTTAAACTGACTCTCCTCCTCCTCCTCTCTACTTTCAGGCCAGGAGCACCCCATGAGCAGCCACTTTGTCATTCCCTCTCCTCCAGGATTTTCTCAGTGAGGTCCCTGACCATCCCCTGGGTTCTGAGGCATGGGGTTTGTGGGGCAGCCTGAGAGTGTGTGCTGCAGTGATGCTGGGGACCAGTCTGTTCTCCACATGCATTTTAGCTGCCTGCTCTCCCATGAGCAGGCAGCAGGAGAGGTGGCACATGAGAGATGCTCATGTGTGGGGTGATGGGCTGCCAGCCCTGCTTGGACAGTTTGCCCCTTAGCAGCCTCTCCCATCCCCTTGAATGGAGCCTGGAAAAGGCCCCATAAACTGGGATTATCCTGAAAGGTAAAGATGGGGAGGGAGGGAGGGTCAGGGAGAGGAATGGGGGGAGCCCAGAGGGATTGGTTTGTGAGCAAGGCTTCAAAGGATCTAAGGTGTCCAAACACAGGGTCTGTATTCCATGAATACAGGAGAGTGCTAAGAGGGGAAACTGAGGCTGTCTTGTGTGCTGTGGGAGGAATTTGAGCAGAGGAGGAGAGGAAATGCAGCAGAAGCACTTTGCAAACCAGGAAGCTATTACACTTTTGACTGACTTTGGAGGGAAGCAGTAGCAACATCTCTGCTTCCATCATCTGGAAAGGCATTAGGAGGATGGCGTGGGGACGGCATGGTGCTGGGTGGAAGTGGTGGCCTATAAATAATCTGCCACGTATTTACTTGTGGTGGTTGACATTAATTATGGATCTTTACAGGCAATTATATGGAAGGAAGCAACATATCCCCTTGGGGCAAAGTTCTTGTAATCCATTGCCCTGTTTGCATCCGACTTTTCCGTTACTCGTTTGGGAAGAGGAAGCTTCAGATCAAAATGGCATTTTCTTTGCACTTGCAGCAAACTGGACTCCAGTTTCGGTCAGGAGGGGGCAGTGACATTGCCTTAGATGAAACCATTTCACATCCCTCTCATTGCCCCCTGCCTCCTGCAAGGCCCGTTGGTGTTTTGATTCTCCAGTTCACTTTGGTTCAGGTATTCCGACATCAAAGCGGGAGACGTCATTTTCCGGGATCTCTCTGCCTGGTGTCACTGCTTGAATAATTCCATTTAATCTTCTGCTCATGAGCAATCAAAGCACCCACTCCAAGGGGGAGCAAGGTGCTAATCAAACTCTTCTCCACCTTGAAAGCCTTTATTAAAAACCCATATACAGGAGTCTAACTTACAGGCAAGCTTGTCTCTGCATGAAGCCCGCTGTGGAGCACCGCAGTGCTGCAGCCCACCAGAGTGCAGAGGATGTGGACGTGAAGTGGTCCACTTGCCATAAAGGATGAATTTATGTTTAAAAGAGAGCCAGCACGGCCGAAGTGCTGCAGCCCCTGTGTGATGCAGCATGGACCAGTCTGCAGCTGCGTGAAGATCCATAGCAGGAACCAGTGCTGAGAAGCCAAAGCACTGCCATGGCCTCACTGCTGGTGGGCAGCATCCCTGGCAGCAGAGGAGGCTGGATGTGGTCGTGCCGGATGGTGATACCTTCCCACAGGGTCTCAGTGTTGCAACACAGTAGGGATGATGCGGACGTGGTGGCAACAGAGACCTTCATCACAGCAGTGCCTTCAACACACTGTCTTAAAATCCTAGCGGCCCATCCCCACATGAGTTCTCTCTCCTTCCTTCAACTGTACTTCACCCAAAAATGCCATGATGTAGGAAGCAATTTGGGTGGGCTCGTGGAGGACAAAAGCAAGAGAGCTTAAAGCTCTTAAAGGGGTGACATTCCTGCATGCTGCTGGTTCAGAGCACCCCGGTGCAAGTTCAAGTCTGCATGGAAAGGGTCAGAGCGCTTCCCTCCTCTGGTGCGCATGACCTACAGAGAAGGTTTTCATAAGTCCCAAGCAGCCAGAGGGGATGAGGAGCACCGACCTGCCCACAGCCCTCACCCTGTCCCCAGCAGGTTGCCAAAGGGCAGCTCCCAACATGGTCGCTATGATGCTCCTGTGCCTCGAGCTGGTTCCGTGGCAGCAGCCCAGCCATGTTCTTGCCTGTCACTGGCTCTTCTCCATCCCGTTTCCAGTGCTGTCAGAGCTTACCTGGTGCTGGGACTCAGCTCAGCAAACTAAATGAAACTAAACCAGACTTGAATGAGCTGGGACATCAGGGGAAGCTCAAGTGTGACTGTGCCATGGAGAGAAGAAAAAATGTTCAGAGGTGGATAAATAACTGACATCAAAGATGCATTAAAATGCCACACAGCTTCAGCCATCTGATTGCAGAATTGCATTTGTACCCTAAACCACAAGCCAGTAACACAGGGAGCTGTGACACTGTAAATAGTTGTGTACTAGGTAGAGCCAGATGAGCAGTCCTGTGTGGTTAGTGAATGTGTCCTCAGTGAAAGCATCACCCCAGCCTTCACCCAAGGCCACTTGGACCGTCTGAAGAAGGTGCCATTCGGGATCTGCTGAGCTGAGCAACCCTGAATGTGCCATTGGAACTGAGGTTGATCAGATCAGTTTTGAAGGGAAAGAGGGTGGGAATCTTCAAACTGACTTTTGCCTCCTGCAAGGCTTTGTGCAAAGCCTCTGTTCAGGCAGTGGTGCTGTTCTAGGCAAGGCATGGCAATGGAGGCATCCCACCTCCATGGGGTACCTGCTGCTTTTCTGCCTCCTTATGGAGCCCTCTGGGTCTCCTGTACCCCAAGGAGGTTCAGTGGGTGCTGGGGGCCGAGCCTTGGGTGTGAGGTGGGGAGGAGACAGCAGCATGGGACAGCAGAGACCGACTGCTTCCTTGCTGCAAAAGCAGCTCCTTGTCTGTGCCAATGTTGCTGCTATGGTTGCACCAGGAGCAGCTCAAATGCAGCTGAAGGTGTTTTGGCTGTGCTGTGAGCACAGAGGTGTCTGTGTGCTTGTTCTTTCTGATCCCCGTTTGCCCCCTGTGTTGCCCATTCCTCCCCTTTCTTTGTGCAAGTGGAATAGAACTTGAGAAAAGAGACGTTCCTGCAGCGTGTAAGGACATGTTCAGAAGACCTGCAGGCTCCATCCAGTTGCATGGACAATATCCCAAACTCTCTGGGCCTCCTGAGGCTGCCAAATCAAAGCTAAGATCTCCTGTATGGCCTTTCCTTTGAGATTTTTAATACCTCTACTTAGAATAAGCTTGGAAGTTTATGCAACAGCGTCTCCATCAAATGTTCCCATCTCACAGACTGGGCAGCAGAGGTGCAGCTGCAAGAGGAGCCATTGGAAAGTAACTGAAGTGGGTTTGACCACGTTGTTTCAGAGCTTCAGAAGTAAAATGTCCTTCTCATTGATGAGTGTTTCTGTGTTAATGGCACCTTGGGGGCCATTACAAGTGGGAAGCAGCAAGAAGGGAATGTACAGGTACTAAAACTTCTGGAGTTGTCCCGAACTGTCACAGAATGCAGAGATACCAGCCCTGGAACAGCTTCTGGTTTCTTCTGCCTCCTCCTTACAATAATCACATGCCAGTCTTAGGGAATGTGTGTATTGGCAGGAATAATGGATTGGTTT